ACCTGCTCTCTGAGAGCACTCTTCAACGATCCGACATACGCGAGCAGAGGAGCCACATTTTCCGATCATTAAGTACCGCCGCCGAAGAAGTAGTTGGATTTCAGCGAGCCCGAAAGAACAACTGGTACGATGAGGAATGTCAAGAAGCCGCAGAGAAAAAAGATGCCGCCTACAGGGCCACGCTGCGATCGGGCGCAACGCGAGCCATGTGGGACCGTTATAGGGAACTGAAGAAGGAAGCGAGACGTATTTGCCGCAATAAGAAGAGAGAGGCCGAAATACGTGAGTGCGAAGAGCTTGAGATGCTGGCCGACAGGAAGAACGCCCGAAAATTCTACCAGAGGGTTAGGCGACTTACGGAAGGTTTCAAGACCGGGGCGAACTCCTGTAAGAACAACAATGGCGACCTAGTGACCGATGTCCAGAATATACTTAAATTGTGGAGGGAACACTTTTATAACCTACTGAATGGTAGCAGCGCTGAAAGTAGTGAGGAAGACGAACCCGAGTCCCCAGTCGATGATGATGGAGTAGCTGTCCCACCGCCTGACTATGACGAGGTACGTATAGCGATTACGCGGCTGAAAAACAACAAAGCTGCTGGAGCTGACGGCCTGCCAGCCGAGCTATTCAAGTACGGCGGCGAGGAGCTGATGAGGTTCATGCATCAGCTGGTATGCAGAATATGGTCAGATGAACGCATGCCCGACGACTGGAATTTAAGTGTGGTCTGCCCAATCCACAAGAAAGGCGACCCCGCCATACACGCCAACTACCGCGGAATTAGCCTTCCAAACATAGGTTGCAAGGTCTTATCGAGCGTATTGTGCGAAAGACTGAAGCCCACCGTCAACGAACTGATTGGACCTTATCAGTGTGGCTTTAGGCCTGGAAAATCCACCATAGATCAGGTATTCACAATACGCCAAATCTTGGAAAAGGCCCGCGAGAATAGGATCCCCACACACCATCTATTTGTCGATTTCCAACCCGCCTTCGACAGCACGAAGAGAAGTTGCCTTTATGCCGCGATGTCTGAATTTGGTATCCCCGCGAAACTAATACGGCTGTGTAAAATGACGTTGAGCAATACCACCAGCTCCGTCAGAATAGGGAAGGACCTCTCCGAGCCGTTTGATACCAAACGAGGTTTCAG